GGACTCCCATGCAAGTGTCCACAGACCACACCTGGGATGTGGGCCTAGATCAGCTGGACAGCCATGCTCACGGCCTATGTCATTTGCCACCAAGAACACTGAATGAGAATGAAGGAGGCGGAAGGTGACCCCACAGCCCTGGCCCAGCTCCTGTTCTGCATTCCCCCATCTGGAACTTGGGCTAGTTGAGCCTAACAATAGAAGTGGCTTCCAGATATGGTGTACAAAACCCAGGGCACCAGAGGTACAAGGGCCCTTTGAAGTCCTCTGGTTAGACCACCTGGCTGTTTCACATATGAATAAAATCTCTATGGAGTCTCCTCCACAGAGAGGAGGAGACTCACCCAAAGTCATACAGTTGACTGAAGATCCCTAATGCAGAGCCTAGTGAATCCCTGTATTTCATGAGGCTACAGGACCTTATCTGTGTCCTCCTTCTCTCTCCCTTCTAGCAGTGTGGGGAGAGGGAAGAGGTGGCCTTGCTCCCCCTGCCTTAACCTGATTGTCAGCTCATATACAGTCTCTCTCCACCTGCCCAGAATTGTTAGCCAAGGCCAAATTCTCTCCTAACTTGCATTCAGTGATGGTCTCAAAGACTTTCCTCTCTTAGGCTGCTGTACTGCTGTGTTGTTCAGTGTCATCTGAGTAGTCCAGAAGAGGGGAGGGAAGGTTCAGAAGGGGTACCAGAAGGGCTGACCCTGGTAATCTCAGCACACACAGCTCCATGTTTTAGGATTGCTGTATCCCAAACACAAAGCACTGTTGAACCCCAAGGCCAGAATGGCCACACCCTCATCTTCTAGGTTGCTCAAATATTGACCCCCATCTCTCAGGACCCTTCAAAGCCAAAATAGTGTTCATTGTTTTCAGAATGAAAATGAGTAAGTAAGAGCTTATTCCCAGCCCTCTGTGGGGACCCTTTCAGGCTTGGAGGAGCATGAGCTTGGCTTCCTGGAGAGGCTGGAGCAGGGCTTTAATTTGCTTGACAAGAGCAGTAGGGAGCACAAACTGCCCAGCACAACAGGCAGGGCTTGAAAATGGGACTTTTTTTGAAAGAAGCCATCTTCTACAAGCGTGGCCCTTCTCAGCATAGCATGTCAGGGCCAAAGCAGAGAGAGATGGACCAGGCTCCAATCAAAGCATCCCAGGAGCAGCTTCCAAATCCTGTTTCCTAAATCCAAGGGAAGCACTGAAACTTTCAACTTAGTCGTTCTTCTGTGGTTAGATTTAGGGAAGCAAATTGTTGTCTGTAATCACAGCCTCTGTGTGTTTCCTGGCAGAACCAAGTCTGGGCAGTTTCTTTCCCATGTCTCATTTCTGCACATCTGGAACTACTTCCATCCATGCCTTACACCCCTCCATTGACTGAACAAGCCAGGGTAGTGTCCCCTAGCCCTAAGGAGAATGTTCCCATACTTTCTGCAGGTCTTCTCATTGTTCTTCCCTAGTCCCAATGCCTTTCACATGCCTGTCTCGTCACTGTCACTGCTAAGCCCACCAGCTGACTCAAGACCACAGACAAATTGGTCTGTCTGGCCTTGAATTTATTCCAGATGTTCATACAATGCAGAAAGAAAGATGACCCAGTGAGGGAATTTCCAAGCTACAGAGCCAGTGGCACCCATACATCTGAGAGCTGTCTGCAATAAGTGATATGATCTAGAAATCCTAAAATAGACACAAGCGTGGCAGGTGGCACAGCCTGCCCTGGGGGTAGTACATTTGGCCCTACAGGTGGGAAGGTCCAGAAGGTTCTGCTTTTCCACAGTCAGTGCCTCTGCATATGGGCAGAGACATAGGTTAAGGATGGGATTACAATCCACCTGATCAGCTGTGGCTGTAGCTCAGTAGTAAAGTGCCTAGTGTGCTTGAAGCCCTGGGTTTGATCCTCAGCACCAAAATAAATAAATAAATAAATACTAAACAAACAAACAAAAACTACTTCACTGCACCTGATCCTCATCACAAACTCACCTCCAGCCTCTACTGCTCAAAGCCATCAGCATCTCTGAACCTTCCCCATACCTGCCCCACCCCAGGCCCTATGACATAGCTGACTAGAAAGGAAAACTGCCAGAATGGGATCACCTAAGTCATATGCATTTAGAACCATCTAAGCCCACAGCTGAATTCCAAATTGGAGTTCCTCATCAGAGAATGCATAGCTGCTGGGGTTTGGGCTGAGGGCGGCGCTGCGGCGTTGGCATTGAAAGTCTGTAACAGAGTGCTGATTTCTCCCCTGGAGCAGAGCTGGAAGGCTGAAGAAAGTGTCACCATTCCGGACAGATAAATGTACAAATCTTCCTATGGGTAGTCACCTCAGTAGGAGCAGCAGAAACAACAGGTTCAAACAGCCTGATCCTTAGAGAAACTCCTGCTCTCGTGGACCTTGCATTCAGGAAGTGTAACTTGGGGGCACCCGCGTGGAAGTCAGCCAACTTTCAACCCACTGAGGATCTGGAGCTCTCCCTGCACCCCAGGCTGACTTCACAGATGGTAAGGACAAAGAGGAGCTAGCAGTAGGTCAGGATCCTAGAGAAGGACCTGGGCAGTGGGGGACAGACTGTACCTGCCCGGATCCTCAGAGCATCCCCTGCGAAGCGCCAGCCCTGCCCCTTCTGGGGTTTCTCTCTGGATCCCACCCACAGCAGAAGATAGGGCGCGGCCCCGGCCTTCCAGGGAGGGAGGGAGGGCGGGCACCCACTTACCAGCAGCTCAATGCCGCCGCCGGGTAGACAAGAGAAGCCCGAGAGGAGAGGAGGAGGGATGGGCCGGGCTCAAGGCTGCAGCATGAGTGCGGCCGTCGGGGCGCTCCCGTCATTTAAACGATCCCTAGTGAGTCACCGCAGGGGGCAGTGTCGGCCTGTGGGGCGGGGCAGTCATGAGCGCATCATCAACCATCAAGGGACTGCCTTCAAGCTCAAGGGGTGTTCTTCGAGTGCATTGGAAAATAAGTTTCTTTTTTTCTGCTACCTCCCCGTTTCCTTGGGAGTCACTTTCTGCAGTTGGCCACCATGCCTCCAGAAAGGGGAGTTTCTGCCGGAGAGGGGCACCAGTCCAGACGGGAAAGGGCCAAAGTGCTGCTGTCTGTGGCCCTAGAAACCTAGTTCAGTCTTCCTTCCCTTCCTTCCTCCCGCCCGCCCTCCCTCCCTCCCTTTTTCCGTTCTGTCCCTCCCTTTACCTTCCTTCTTATTCCAAATGTTTTATATAGCAATAACTTCAGTTTTACTGAAAATATGCCAGACTAATATAAGGAATACTCAAACAATTCGCCCAGTTGAATACCTGTTGGTAACATTTTAGAAAAGGTATTTATTTTTAGTTCTAAGGAAGGATAGAATTTCCTCCATTGTGTCTCTCCTACTCTGAGGCCGCCCTCTGCAGCTCCAGAGGTGCCCACACATCGTGTCCCTGGGCTGGGACAGTGATGGAGAACAAGACTTTCTCCTCGCCCTTTGCCTCTGCCTGACATCCTGTGCATGCCTTGCTGCTCCTGACTGCCCACTGTCCTCTATTCCAACAAGGGACCAAGCTACTACTTCTATTCATGGTGTTCCCAAGAGGGTCTGGGGAAGAGGATGCAGAGTCACAGTTTAGAAGGGGCCTGTCAAACCTCAGCTTCTCCTCCATAACTGATCCTTAAGCAAGACACAAGACACTGTAGTCTGAAACTACCTTGGCTCAGTTTACCCCCTCCACTGAGTGGGGAGAGTGATATTTACACCTGGCACCTCATGGAATGCCAAGAGCCTTAATTAATGTTTGCAGTGTGCTTTGAGAGCTGTGATGAAAGGAAGACATAAAAGTGTGCAGTGTTATTACTGAAACAGTCATTTGGGTGGCTTGCCTTGGTCAAGCCCTGCAGCCTGAATCATGCCTCACCATGGTACTGTGATTCAGAGCCAGAAACAAAAATGCCCTGGCCAGGAGCCTGAGAGGGGCAGGCACTGTCCCACACCCCTCACTCCAGCTCTCCAACCTCAGCCTCCTTTCCAATAAATACTCCGTTGAAGAATAACTGGAAACACCTTCCTTCTCACCCCAAGCCCAGGGCCTCTGCATTACAAATCCAGGGGTATCAACTTCCTGCCCATGAATCTGAAGATAAAACTATCTCGCTTTTCCTCTTTTCTTCTTTATTCAGTCCCCACACAAAGCCACTCTGTACTAGGCTGTGTGGAGAGTTGTAGACAACACTGGAAGAAATTGGGCACGTTTCAGGTAGCACCTGCTTTGAGATGGGGGTCCTAATGGACCATTTGTATTCTGTCCTGTCTACACCCTGTTTCTCAGCCTCACCACTCAGAGCCAGATGAGCCTTTCTGCAGGGCAGCCCTATGCAGTACAGGAAAGGATGCTGAGCAGCATCCCTGACCTCTACCCCAAATGACAGCAGCATCACAGCCCCAAGTCGTGACAATCAAAACTGTCCCTAGACATTGCTAAGTGTATCTTTGCAAAGGGGGAGGGGGAGAGCTACTGACCTACCAAAAAAAAAAAAAAAAAA